AGACGTGGGACAGAACACACAAAGGAAACCGTACCAACAGGCTCTTCTACAGATGACACGTGTATCCCTCTTTGAGCATTACCGTCTCAACACATCGACAAATATTTAAACAAGCACGACCTAGGGCAGCACCGGCAATTAAGCACAACCGCCACCCAGGAAAAGACAATTTTAACCCCAGGTTAGAGCTAATGTCATTCTCGTGACATAGGACTAGAGGGCAACTGATAATGATGAAATTTTGGGTATGTGCCACCATACTCAAAAGCCCAATAAGTCTAGGAGGCCCCTACGTGCACAATGACCCAAATGGATTGCAGCAGCATGCCCATGACAAGAGTAGGATAAACTGTAAGAAGGCTTAAAGTCTAGCCTAGCCATAATCCAGCTCAATTGGAGGTCATCTCGGGGTAAATAAGCTCGGCTCAGCAGCCCCCAAACCGACACATGAATAAATATAGCCGTTATGGAGTTCAAAAGGAGCCGGGAGATAGCGCCGAGAAGTAATGGCTCGGAGAAGCAGAGTACACAGGCTAGGACTAGCATTTAAGGACAACTCATTTATGAGGAGCTGAGTGACTGTGATAGGGCTATTAATGAGCCTCTACATCCTCGAGACACAAACTAACAATCATAATTGAAAAGCATTAATGGTCAGTGCACCAATCAGATGTCCTTAGGAAACCCTAAGGTACTCTTCCTCGAACATTAAACATTCGGGAGTAGGTGTCAAGTGCCGATCAGATGGAGTTAGAAGACCCGGGATAGGGTCATAAGTGCTCGGCATGCCCCAAGTAGTCATCCTATTGCCCGAGTGAACCGGTCATGAGAATCTGAGTGGAGAGCATTCATTACATATGGATAAGAGTGCAAGCCATTAAATGTTGAGATGAGACTTCAAACCCCTGCACTCATTGCTGGTCTAGGTATAAATACTCCTCAGAAAGATGAACAAAGATATGCAAACTAAACTGAGAAAAAGAAATATTGTGTTCAAGCCTCCAAATGCCTATTGACTTAAGCTTCAGAGGGGATAAGCTGGATGTTCACCCAGCCCCTTTTCTAACCTGTTGGTTGTTTCAGGTTCGCTATCTCTATCCATTGCAGAAATCATCCCGTGCAACAGACAACCCCTAGGAACAAGAGACTCTGCTACAGTGGGCTTAACCTTAGTCCTTAGGCCAAGATCTCGGTTCTAGACTTGGGCTTATATTTTCGAGCACCATCAGCTACATTAGTTCTTTCAAAGTTTTTAGAAGAAAATCATTTATCTGTAGTAGTTTGAATATGAAAATAAATGAGTTATAGATTTAGGGTAGAAACTCTTATTCATAGGTGGGACAAATGAGCTTTTTTTATTCTCAACTTCAAAGAGCTTTTTTTATTTTTATTTTTCATCACCTTGGATTCCAATTCTTTCCCTAGGGAGACGACTTTAGAATTTTTGTTCAAATTACTATACGATACTTTTCTCTTATGCTTGGGAGTTTTCATGAAAATACAACCCCTTTGGAGGGCATGCATTTTTGGCGCCGTTGCCAAAAAAGCGAATGATAGTTTAAGGCGAGGCAGATGTATTCAGGTAGGTCTTGTGATTTTTATCACAAGCCTAGGTATCTCGGTTGTAATTTATTTCTTGCTTTTTTTGTAATTTTAATTCTTAGGTTTAGTAGATTTGCATGTAGGGTAGAGACCAAGTAGACCGACTTGTTAGACTTAGACAAGATTTACCACTAGTTGTAGGTATGACTACCCAAAATAACAACAATGACATTGATCCACCCATTATTATACCAACAGGGGGTAATGGTGCGAATAATCTGATTATTGTTTTGTCTGGTCACACTAGGAAGGATTATTTTCAACCGACCCGCTCTTTCTTGCCATCGTGCATTGTTCTTCTGATGCATGCACACCAATTCATTGTTAAACCTGGAATGCTCCAATTGCTCCCTCAATTCCATGGAATGACAAGTGAAAATTGCTATCTCCATCTCAAGGAATTTGAGAAAGTAGTTAGTATATTCCTACAATATAATATGCATGAAGAAATGGATAGAATGAAACTTTTACCTTTCTCACTTAAAGATAAAATAGAGACTTGGCTAAATTCCTTGAAGCCATAGAGGATCTCTTCTTGGGATCAAAAAATAAAAAAAAATGACTCAATTTTTTCCCATTCATAAAACTACTACTTCGAAAAAACAGATTAAAAATTTTATTGAGAAATCGAATGAGCAGTTTTATGAATGGTGGGAAAGANTGAAAAAACAGATTAAAAATTTTATTGAGAAATCGAATGAGCAGTTTTATGAATGGTGGGAAAGATTTAAAAAGCTCTTAAACTCTGTTCCACATCATGGATTTAAACCATGGTAGATGATAACTTTCTTCTATGAGAGAATTACCCTTGCACATTGTTAGTTCATCAACNAACCATGGTAGATGATAACTTTCTTCTATGAGAGAATTACCCTTGCACATTGTTAGTTCATCAACATGATGTATAATGGAGAGTTTCTACATAAAGAGCCTAAGGAGGCTCTTGATTATTTTGATTATTTGGCAGAGAGCGCCTAGTCTTGGGACATCTCAGACCCTGCTGAGTGATCAACATCATCGGTAGCCCTCAATCGTCCAGTGGAGAAAAATATTTGTTGAGAGATCAAGGTGATCTCCTAGCCATGAATGCTAAACTTTCAAGGAAAGTCGAGAGTTTAGAGTTTCAAAAGGTCAACGAGGTGATTAGTGTGCCCAAGGCTGATGACCCTTGCTCAGTTTATGAGTCCATTGAGCACCCTATGAATGAGTGTATAACTCTTCTTATGTGTAGGGAAATGCATAAGAAGGTTAATGCATTTAATTAGCCAAAGCATTCATTTTTCCCATACTCCAATACTTAAAATTCGAGGTGGCGATACCATCTCAACTTTATTTAAAGATCTAACAACACTGTCCAACCTCTACAATAACCTCCTGCCAAATATCAGCCATTACCAAGTTATGTCGTTCATTATAATGCTCAACATGTCCCTTTGCAAGGAACTCCGCAACACGAGTTTGTTCAGAACCCACCACCACCACAACCACAAGCTCAAAGGTTTGGCCATCAAGGTCAACCCGCAGTACCTCCTTACCAGCCAACCCACAAAAGGAACAGTGACGACTTGTTACAACAACACATTCAGACCTAGAATAACATCAACAATTCAACTGCTTAGGCTCTAAATGAAATTAGATCACATATCACAAAGATCAACATGACCTTAGGGGTAATGCAATATGAGAAAGGGAAATTCCTGCTCAACCTTAAGAGAACCTTAAAGGTCAACACATAATTGAGACACTTACAATGTTGAACAGCTGAAGTCCACTAATACTCTTAGGAGTGGTAAAAAAAGTAGATAAAACTATCCCACCAAAGATCTTTAAGCCTATAGAAAAAGAGACCTCATGTGATTTAGAAGAGACTAAGCTACTTGATATTGATGAAAATAGTTATCCTATCCCTACTNTGAGAAAGGGAAATTCCTGCTCAACCTTAAGAGAACCTTAAAGGTCAACACATAATTGAGACACTTACAATGTTGAACAGCCGAAGTCCACTACTACTCTTAGGAGTGGTAAAAAAAGTAGATAAAACTATCCCACCAAAGATCTTTAAGCCTATAGAAAAAGAGACCTCATGTGATTTAGAAGAGACTAAGCTACTTGATATTGATGAAAATAGTTATCCTATCCCTACTCCTTACCCTCATAGATTGCGTATGCCTGCTAAGCTATCTGATACATCTGAAATTCTTGAGATTTTAAGCAGGAAAAAATTAACATTGCTCTTTTGGACTCAATTCAATAGGTACAATCTTATGCCAAGTTCTTGAAAGAATTATGCAGAGTGAAGAGAAAGATAATGCGCAAAAGAGAGCTTTCCNAACTAAGCTACTTGATATTGATGAAAATAGTTATCCTATCCCTACTCCTTACCCTCATAGATTGCATATGTCTGCTAAGCTATCTGATACATCTGAAATTCTTGAGATTTTAAGCAGGAAAAAATTAACATTGCTCTTTTGGACTCAATTCAATAGGTACAATCTTATGCCAAGTTCTTGAAAGAATTATGCAGAGTGAAGAGAAAGATAATGCGCAAAAGAGAGCTTTCCTCACAAAACAGATAAACTCCATCTTAACGATGAATACTCTACCTAAATACAAAGGTCCCGACTCTCCTACCATCGCAATCATCATTGGGGATTGTCGGGTAGAACAAGCACTGCTTAGATTTGGGTGCAAGTGTACCTCATTCTTTATTCTGTTTGTGTAGCTTGGATTAGAAGAATTGAAACCGACATCCATCACACTCCAACTTGGCAACAGAAGTGTAAAGATGTCATGAGAAAAAATAGAGAATGTTCTAGTCCAAGTGAAAAAATTTTACTTCGCAGTTGATTTTATTATTCTTGATACTTGTCCAGTTGCTAACCCCTCTGTTAAAATCCCTGTTATTTTGGGATGACCATTTCTTGCAGCCTCTAATGCCTTAATTAATTGCAGGAATTGATTTATGAAGATGACTTTTGGAAATATGACTTTGGAGCGAAATTATGTTTAATATTGGAAGACAACTCGGGTATTATGGAGAGTTACATAGAGTAAATTTCATTGACACCATCATGGAACAACAAGCAGAAGATTCATGTGGCAAATACTTGGAAATCCTGTTTGAGGAAATAATTGTTTAAGAAGAAGAAGCTTTTATTCTAAGCTCGTGGGAGCCTAAATTTGAAGAATTACCACCTATAGAGAAGCATGCTCTACCATCGACTGTTCAACCACCCAAACCTGATTTGAAGTCACTTCCATCTACTCTGAAATATGTTTATCTGGGGAGTGATGATACTTTTCCAGAATCAGGACCAANACTCTGAAATATGTTTATCTGGGGAGTGATGATACTTTTCCAGAATCAGGACCAACAGAAAATCTAATGGCACTTCTAATCACTCATTTGCCTCATCTTGTCTCGGCAAATTCTGCTCTTTAGGTGGTCCTGAGGTTTTTGGGTATCCACCATATACATTCTTCCCAAGCTTTGCAAGTTCTACATGTATTACCCGGCCATCAAAATGCTGGCACAAGAGAAGGACAAGTTTCCCAAGTCAAAAATGTTCTCGAGTAATCAAAGGAAGTAAATTATATCCTGAGATACAAAAAATGAACAAGAATGAAAGCCACAGTAAAACCTTTTGATCCATGTTTTCTATAGCTTGCAAGGCATTATCTTGAGAAGTATATTGAATAAAAGCATAACCTTTTGACCTTTTCGTGGCTTCATCCTTGACAAGCCTAACTGTAGATGGCGGTAGATATAGTTAGGACAACATATCCCGAAACAAAGGTGAAAACAAATATATATATATTCTGTTTATTGTGCTTCTCTTCTTTTCTTTGCTTTTTCAAATGATCAAGAAAAAGATATATAGCACAAACCTTCAGCTACATGCCCGAAGTTTGAAAATTCCTTATGCAAACAACTTTCACTGGTAGAATATGACAAATCTACATTTGACAATGCACACAGAGTCATTTCTTTCTGTAAAAAAATCAAAAAATAAAAGAAACAAGAAATGAACTTAGCAACAAATGCATATAGTTTGAAAATAATGGGAATTAGTGATCGATGGATTCTGCATGAGTCAATGTAGAAATGCATGCATGCATTTTTAATCATCTAGATGTCTGCATTTCTAATTTTTAATTATCTAGTGCATTTCTAATTTTTAATTCAAGAAATTTTTGGTCATTCTCAATGTTTCTCTAACCGCTTGGGTTCAAATATCACACAAAATGCAATACACTGGTTTCATTCAAAAAACAATGTCCAAACACCTGGCAATTTTATTAAAACAGACAATACAAATACATAATACTATTAGAAAGCTCTACTAATCAATGAAAGATCTCATCTTCTTTACAAACAAAGGCTTCATTAGTAAGTAGTTTGGAGTTTCATGCATCCACTTGAAGGATGAGACCATTATTAGCCAAATAGACCCTGCAAACTCATGGTCACCTAGGAAGGCCTATGGCGCATAAGAAAANCAAGTAGTTTGGAGTTTCATGCATCCACTTGAAGGATGAGACCATTATTAACCAAATAGACCCTGCAAACTCATGGTCACCTAGGAAGGCCTATGGCGCATAAGAAAATATATCAGTTGAGATAAAAGCATGTCTGATCCTTTTTTTATTTCCTCTAAAAGATGGATCAGGGCAATGGAGTCAAATGTGTCATACATAGTATTTTTTATTTTTTATTTTTTATTTTCTTATAAATGTCACACATCTGAACCTATAAATTGGATTTCTAGCGTTGTTTGTTGACATATCATTAGCATCAAATTGATACCAGCTCCAACTGAAGTACAAGCCACAAAGTTGCATAATGAGAATTTAATTTGATTAAATATCTTTGATTCTTTATACAATTTCTAATGTGAGTAATATACTTACGACAAGAGAATAATCATATATATGCAGTAAAGATGATAAAGAAAAAAAAAACATTCGGTATGCTGAAATCTACCAATTAAATGGGCAGTGATCAGCACATTGACTGACGGGAAAAAGGAACCCAAAAAAAACCATGATTGCCTGCATGGGCTTATACACGAAACCCCAGCTGTTCAGATAGTAGAAGAGTGACCTGGTTGACCCACTAAATCCCATGGTCAATTGAGTTTTTGAGGTGACAAGAAAACCAGATTTTTCCACGCGGTTGCAAGCAACAAATTGAAAAGACAAAGCTATAGAATGTATTTGAACAGTTGTCTGCTCAAAGTCACAGTGAAAANTCCATGGTCAATTGAGTTTTTGAGGTGACAAGAAAACCAGATTTTTCCACGCGGTTGCGAGCAACAAATTGAAAGACAAAGCTATAGAATGTATTTGAACAGTTGTCTGCTCAAAGTCACAGTGAAAAATAGATTGGAAATACCAAGTTCAGAATGTTGTTGGATATGTCTAACACAATACAAAACCTCAATATAGGATGCCCAAATGCACAACTATCATGAGCTCTCAGGATTATGGCAGAAGCACATTGAACCAATTTCTGCACATGAAAAATATTTAACACCAATAGCAACCCCTCTTTAATTTAAAAAGGGCCTCTGGTCCTCTAACTTTATAAAGCTTCATGCCCCATCCAACTGAAAGAAAGTAACTTTGAATAGCCCACAAATTAGGCAATCCAGTATTGTGGATTGCAGGTACTACAGATATCCCATGAACAGGGTTGCATAACCTAAAAGGGCGGGTTCACTTCACGACCTAGATTGCCAAAATTCCCAATCCCAATTCTAAACCTAACTTGAGCCATTATCTAGGTAACCCTAAATTGTAACTTTTAAACCCGAGTTATAACCCTAAATGTTACAATATCTCTTGATGTTAGTGATCTTTCAACTTATTTTGATTTGTTGTGATTTGCAATTACTAACTTTTATTATTTACAACCATCATGGTTCATTTTAGAACTCTTGTCACAATTTTAAAATAATTATTAATTAACTATAAGTGTATGTATATACAATAACATATGATTTCATATGCAACTATACCAGATAGAGTTCCAAAGTCACTAGTGACCCAAAACAACACACTAAGTTTACCTAATAGCACTACATATCAAAGAAAGTACCGTACAACATCCATTCTCGTACCACATGCCAAGTATACCCACAATACATTAATCCAATAACTATTTATCCATTTTTCCATAAACACTCGGTGATTAAGAAGCCTAACATTGCATCTTTACACGATTTTGCATCCATAAAGTTGTGTTACTTATTGATTGATAATTCACTCATACCTAGTCCAAATGATTTTGGTGGTCTTGGATGCTGCTGGAAGACAACTCATTTGTCAAAGTTATCATAAACATAAAAGGTCCCAAAGTTTAATATAGATATTTAGCACCCTGCAGCAACACCAGCTTAATATCTCATTATAGAGATCGAGTATGGAAAAATATGTATTGTAGTCTAGCTACACAATGTACACATTGGCCCCCTAAACACAGTCAAACAAACTAATTGAAGTAGTTCAACAATATAACCATACCTTTTCAAATTTCTGTAGGTATCCATGATTTGGTTATGTAAGTTATTCGAATGTCTTAACGTATAAAAAGATCTAATTTAAAGTTCCGGACCACTAGGCCAAAGTTAAGCAATTTGCAGAGGACTACTTGTCTGTGCAAACTAGGCAAGGGGACTGATAATTTGCAGGGTGATTCAGTTAGCCGAATCACACTAATTCGATTCATCCCCATACTATCCAACACTAATTCAAGCTTTTAGCAACACTAGGACTGGGGAGACTCATTCATCGTACCAAAATCTTGCATCTAATAAGATTTTCAATCTAGAGGGTAAAGCAACGGAGAATTTATGTCCATAGTGCAGGCAAATTGAAAAGGTAGAAAGGAACCTATAGTAGCTAGATAGGTACCTACAAAAAAAAAAAAAAAAAAAAAAAAGAAGTCTAACAAAGCTCTTCTTCAACTGTGCCTCCTCTCCTTCAAAGTGCCTCTAGTGCTCCTCCAACCAAATGCTCCAAGACAGAGAAAGGGAAGCCACTGCCACACCTCCACGCTTGTTTCACATCCTCTCCTCGAACACCGCAAGAAGATTTAGGAATGACCATGACAACATAAGTAATTTAAAAAATGAATTCCTACACACCTTCATAGCCCGAACAAGCCAACAACGAATAATTTGCCTATGCCAAATAGACATATGACACCAAATCGGAATTATTTGCCACTGCCTCTAATGTTATCAATTTGTTAGGATGCTCTCCAGAGGCCTTGATCACATGAAATAGTTGGGAGGACTTTAGGTTTCAAACTAACCTCTCATGGAAAGGAATGATTAGATCCACCACCCTTGGAGAATTTCTTACACTTGGTTATAGAAAATGTGGGATATAGGCTCTTCTACACACAATCGCACAATCACTCATCATTTTTTGTGTTTAACACCCTGGATAGAAAATTCGCATCAACAGCATTTACAGAATAAAAAACATACGTTGTCAAAGAATAAATTATATTTCTGCTCTTTCCCAGTTCTTTTCATCAAACACATAGTAGGCGACAAGTTACTTATCTATATATAGTGTAAAAAAACAAAACCCAGATGCTAGAACAATTAAATGTACAATGCAACAAAATGAAAACGATCGGTACAATGTCAGACCTTCATATCAGACTCAAAGAAAACCCACAAGGCAAATCAAATCTGCACACAAGTGAAGAAATACAACATAGGCACACATTAAGAGCAAAGAGAGTGAGACCACTTACTTCTGAGTATGATTTTGCTTGCAAGTGGAAAATCGAAGAAAGACGCATGTAGCTTTAAAGACTCAGAATTGCATCGATTTACACGAGGTGCTCCAAAGGTAAGCTTTGGAGTTGGGGAGTAACCGAACCATACAGTTCTTGCCATTAAGCGATTAATTATGCCCTCAGTCAAAATAAAAGGGGGAACAACTTGCTCCGGTTTAATGAAATTAAGTACAAAATTTTATGTTATATACATAAATTTGAATAATATAAATAATTATATGCAAAAATAAAAAGACATAAGAAATATAGGAAAAATATTATCAGACAAAATAACACTTGTTTTGATTTTTAATTACATTACTATAATTTTTTTTAGTTAAGGATGAAATATAAAAATTTTAATCTTTCATGATATATATTAAAAATTTAAAATTCCAAAGTACCATTGAATAACGTAAAAATGCCCCTCTCGTTGGTAAATGAAAACACCTTCTCCTCTCCCCTACCACCAGCCATTTTTAGATTACGACTAACTCATTTAACTTTCAAAATAATTAGTGTATCCTCTCCNGTTGAATAACGTAAAAATGCCCCTCTCGTTGGTAAATGAAAACACCTTCTCCTCTCCCCTACCACCAGTCATTTTTAGATTACGACTAACTCATTTAACTTTCAAAATAATTAGTGTATCCTCTCCCTTACATTAATTTAGAGGTTGTTTGGTATTTTTTTTTCCTATGTGGTAAGATTATAGAACTTTAAAAAACATAAACAAAATTTCATAAACTATTTGATAATTTTTTCATTTTCTATTTTTGATAAATATTGACTTGATAAAATAAAAAAAATAAGGTTTTTTTTTTTACTTAAAAATGCGGAAGACTTGCAACATGCTAAAATGTCGTATGCTAATGCTTGTCATGTAATTCCTATATTAAGATTCAACATATTGCTTATATGAGGCCTATATGGAATGGCACGGGGTGGTCCTTCGATTTTTTTTTTTTCCCTTTTCCCACCCCGTAAAATCCAAAATAGGGATAAGAGTGTTGTATTTCAAATAATAGAATTTATGCTAGTGGAAACTCCCCTTCACTAATGGCTACGTTTAATTTTGTGATAGGATTGTGGAGCAATTGTGAATAGGTAATTGACGAAACTAGACTAACCTTGTTTTGAAATTTGGATTTCCAATGCTTATTTTTGCTTTTTTAAGTGAAGTATTTGGT